ACCAGTAAAATTAACCTGTAATTTCCTGCTGCATTTTGTTTCATTCTTCCAGTTATTAGATCTTTCTTTCTCCCTTTCACCTCCCACCTCTCTTATTCTCCCCCCTCCCCCCTCTCGCTCTCTCTCACCCAAAGCCTTGGGTGTTACTGTTAATAGTCTATCAGCTGGAGGAAGTCCTGTGTGCATTTATATGTCCCCGCAGTTTGACGCTTGATTCATGTAGGGGACACCCCTGGGAGTAAAAAAAACTTGGGTAGACATTCTGAATCATGGGAAGGATAAGTAAAATTCAAGATGGCGTTCAAGATGGCCGTCAATTCATGTAATTGACCATAACTCGCCACCTATTTATGATAGGAGGTTGATTTTGGTGTCTATCCCCATATTTTATGGGTCAGGCTATCCATTAAAACTGATACCCGTACCGAAAATGAATTGCATCATTGTTAAATCTAAGATGGCCACCGAAAGGGACACCGTATCATATAAACTGCTATAACTTCTTGCAGACTTATGATAGAAGTGTAATTTTCGTGTCTATCCCTATGTTTTAGGGGTCAGGTTATCCACTGAGACTAATAACCAGATTAAAAACGCACTGCATCACCATCAAAGCTAAGATGGCCACCAAATATGACCGTCATTTATTGACAAGTTTTCACAAATCGCTATAATACTAGCAGCATTTACAGTATACATGATATTATTGGTAAGGTAACTTTAATACTGATCACTGTGTCCTTAGGATACCAATTTGGGTTTCTGCAGTCATCGACTTGTTCGGTCTGGCCTTTGCAAAATTCGCAACACTTGGCACCATTTTGTTGACACACGCACCTTGCTGTAGAACACTTCACACAGGAACACACAACTGCAACATCGTCCGGCAAAGGTAGATGGAACCTACCTGGAACAAGCAAGCCATCTGATAATTCGAATCCAAAGTCTGTAGGTTCCAGAGTAAGGACACTCAAACAGTTCATCTGACTATAGGTGGAGTAAAAGCCTCTAAGAATATGTCCGAGTTCTTCCCGAATTCCTTGAGGTGTGCTATTGGGTTCGCTTTGGGAGCTGCCAATTTGGTGCCAAATTTGCTTGTGATGTCACATCCAGTCAACGCATGAACGGCCGGCAGTACATCACATAATTCACGCCCCTGCTTTTATGCCAATACATGTACTGGGGATGTACTTGATACTGTCCCCTACACCTGCTCTCCACAGTTTAACCATACCATGCGTTTTAAAGATCTGGCTGAAATGTAACAACAACACCAACACATCAGTGTCATTTGACAGCGTGACAATCCTCTTGACACCGATCCTGATGGCATGCAAAACATGGGGCATGATTCGAACATCCGCTTCTTCCAGAGTAGAATCGAGTTCATTGTATTCGTTTGTAATTCCCGAATAGACTGACCTTGTCTTCGTAGACACTGTGCTCCCTTCAATTTGGCTAACCACAATTTCCACACCAGGGACTCGTGTAGGACATTGGTCAATCAGAAACCTAGTCAGCAGTTCCTCTAGTTTGCCCAGAAGCTGTCCATTTCCTTTGGCAGTTTAGTCTCAGGATTGACTGGACTCGATCGGTGGTCTCATTGTCCTCCGTTGTCGTTCACTGTCCACAGATCCTTCGATGTAGGAATCGAAAACAAAGTCGATACGGCTGGCATTGACACTCAAGCCAATGACGGTTTTCAAGAATACCTCACAGAAATCTCCAAATGTTCTCAATGACGACGTTCTAATCTTTCTCACATATGCCATTACATCTACAAAGTATGCAGTTGGCATTGCCGTCCACTGAGACGGAGCTTGGTAATCAGCACTGGTCAGTGCTTTTTCGAGTTCGTTTGTCAGTTCACTTTGCAGGTTTCTTCATAAACCCATCGTCATCGAATAGGTAACTGGGAGACACCACGAGGTCGTGTTGGAACACATATCAGGCATCACAACCGCGTACTCGAGCAATATCTAACTTCTTCTGTGCTGACCCAAAATCCTTCCTTTCTTGTTTGTGTTTGATATTTGCTGGTTTCTTCTTTCGACCGATGGCGCTTGCAAACGTCTTCAAGTTCCGTTTATGAATAACATCACTCAGGCGCTTCGTTTTGTCTATTAGTCTATCCTTTCAAAATTTATTGTACCTCTCAACACCAGATTCCTTGATTGTCACCAGATCCTTTCGAACAGCATCAGGCATAATGGCAGACGACAGGATGTTGTGCAGCCGTTGTTCTGTATCTTCGACAACTTTGAACGGATTCTCATGGGTAACCACATATGCCATCATGTCATCAACCTTTTGCTCCCCGCCTTCAGTACGTCCAGTGGTGAATTCATGGTTGACAACTAACTCAGAATCGTCCATTCTGACTGCGCTTATCTTCCTAAACAGGTGGTTAACAGACATCATTTCATGGTGAATAATGTTCCATTTCGTAACGTATTGCTTCTTCCTGGTGCTACCAATGATACCGGCACTGCTTATCGAGGAACGGTTTATTGTTTGCTCTAAGCACATGTCCATTGCAACGGCTGTGAATGGAGCTGACGAATCCTTGATCACAAAGCCCCATTCAGAAAGTTTCCATGAATAGCTGGTGCGTGAATTATGTGATGTACTGCCGGGCGTTCATGCGTTGACTGGATGTGACATCACAAGCAAATTTGGCACCAAATTGGCAGCGCTCAAAGCGAACCTAATAGCACACATCAAGGACTTCGGGAAGAACTCGGACAATTTGTGTCTAGCTGAATCGGAACTATATCTGGTACAGGTCGTGAAACATGGTAACCATACTATACAAAATATGGATGAATTACGACATAGTCTATACTACCACAGCAAGTCTGTGACCGTTCTGGACTTACCACCGACTAGCCACGCAGCTACAGGACATATTCTCAGAGCCTTTTACTCCACCTATAGTCAGATGAACTGTTTGAGTGCCCTTACTCTGGAACCTACAAACTTTGGATTCGAATTATCAGATGGCTTGCTTGTTCCATCTACCTTTGCCGGACGATGTTGCAGTTGTGTGTTCCTGTGCGAAGTGTACTACAGCAAGGTGCGTGTGTCAACAAAATGGTGCCAAGTGTTGCGAATTTTGCAAATGCCAGACCGAACAAGTCGATGACTGCAGAAACCCAATTGGTATCCTAAGGACACAGTGATCAGTATTAAAGTTACCTTACCAATAATATTATGTATACTGTAAATGCTGCAAGTATTATAGCGATATGTGAAAAGTGGTCAATAAATGACGGTCATATTTGGTGGCCATCTTAGCTTTGATGGTGATGCAGTGCGTTTTTAATCTGGTTATTAGTCTCAGTGAATAACCTGACCCCTAAAACATAGGGATAGACACGAAAATTACCCTACTTTCATAAGTCTGCGAGAAGTCAGTGGCATAGCCAGTATGTAGCACTGTAGGCCCGGGCCTACACTTTTTTTGGCCAAGTTATCTTTTTTTTTAAACACCCATAATTCAAATCCATAAGCTTGCTGCATGGACGAGTTTAAGAGTCTAGACAGGAAAAACTATTGAAATGAACGTAGCAAGAATATGGCTAAATTAGGTGACCTATTCTTCTGTCATCTAGGCTGTCATTTCCTCCCTATACCTTAAGTTAAGGAGGGAATGTTCCCCCTTCTTTTACACCTCTTGACCTTTGACCCCCAGCTTTGACATCCCAACTCGTTTTGACGATCCCCCCCCGACGTCCCGAATATCGTGAACGTACGTCAAGCGGTTAAGATTTGTGCCCAACTGTTGACGGACGGACGGAGGGCCGGACGCACGCACGGACGGACACACGGACAGACGGACAATCGTGCGATTCTACAAGCTGCATCGACTTCGTCAGATGAGCTAAAAAACGGCGTCAGGTATTGTTATTAAGTGCCGTATTTTGTTATTTTGTTGTATTTTGTTGTATTTAGTTATGTCTGTTTATTTGCTAAAATTTTAAATTGTGTCGCGTTGCGTGTTATTAAACGTCAGGGATCCAAAGAAAAAGATAACCCTAGAATTCACAAATATTGCACTTACAATTTCAATTTTGGTTCAATTCCCTCAAAAACGGCCATTTTGAAGGTTCTAAATTGCAAAAATCCAAGAGCTTCCAGGGGCTCCGCCCCCTACACCCCGGGCAAGGACTCTCCCCCTGCACCTCGCCAGGGGCCCTAGGGTGGGCCCCTGGACCCCACCCGTTAAGGGCTTCGCGCAAAGGCGCTCGCGGTGGCCGCTACGCACACACACTCTTCGTATATTTTGCGAAGTACTTTGGAAGTAACACCGAAATCATTCCCCCCACAACTGAGGACCTGTCTACGCCACTGTATACGTTTAATACTGGTTTAATAACTCAAACAATAGTTTACAACTTGAACACGGCATCACAGCCAGCGAGGGTGGAGCTAGCAAGTGCCAGCATACAGAAAGTGTTACATACCTGCTGCGTTGTCGAATGACCTACAGACTCGTAGCCATTTTTGCAGACAGCTTGTGCCATGAAAACAACTTAATAAAATAGCATGATTTGTATCACAATACTTTGTAGAAAAACCACGTAACAGACTATACAAAGTACAAACTATAGTCCCCTAGAAATCATATGAATGCTTACAAATCAGCATGGCGGAGCACTTAATAAATGACTGCTATTGAACTTACTGCGAATTGTGTCATACTTGTTCTATTTGCTGATGAACTATGCTACTAAATGATACGGATTTTATTCAGCAGAGTATCAATACGTGTATCATGAACAGTCAAACGTATCGTTAAATGCATATCGCCTAGGTTTGTTTTCGAATACATGGATATATCGATGAATCGTCCAACCCCTATTAGTGGTGATAACAATGGTTGTATTAGCATTGCAAAAACGGAGGCTTGCTATGCTGCAGCATCAATTCGAAAAAAGATATGACATTTATATTTATATTATTATTATGTTTTTTTAATGACATTTTTTTGTTTGCAGTTATGTTTAGACACTACGACCAGGGGGCACCACCAAACCACAGCGAACAACATGAGCGGGTGGAAGGCTAAAAAGCTGATCGCTGACCTTGATGAACTCTTTCGCAACGTCGAGGCCGCATTTGCAAGTGGCATCCACATCCAGCAGGTTGCACTGATATTCGGCGCAACCGTCGTAGCCCCGAAGGAGCTCTATGTTGTCGACTTTCCGCGGCAGGCGGGCGTCTGTGGCCTAGAACTTTCCCGGGCGTACTGCATCCGTAAGGTCTTTCAGCGACTCGTTGAGGAGCCAAGGTTGTACGACGTGAAGCGCCTAGCGCTGACAAACATTGCGCTACTCATACGCACGACGCGCAACTGCGGCCTGCAGTGGTTTCACCCACACCACGGTTACAGCATGCCCGCGCGCGCATTTAAAGTCACCTTAGAGCTCCTCAACAAGGAGCTTCTGGGGAATGGTTCTGACGATGAGGGTTTGTCTGTCGATGATACTAAAAGAGAGTTTTCATCGTCATTCGATCGTGCTACTCGCTATAGGGAATCTCCGCCAATGACAGGTGGTAATGGGCCGGAGGAATTTTTTCCATTAGATGTTTTCGGATTGGAAAATGGGTCGCTCGGTGATAAGCAAAACAAGGAGAATGTTTGTGGTAGCCTTCATCGTTCAGGACAAGCTGATAGTACTTGTGATCTTGTTTGGTTTCAAGCACCTCTTAGCATTAAAGGATTTAAGTACAAGACGTGCAGAGAGTCAAAGCCAGAAGATATATGGGTTTAAAATTAAATAAAACTGCTGTCTTAAGTGCGTGCATTTTTTTACCTTGGTCTCATTATTTGGGACGTGTACTATACACAGAATAACGTTTGGGTGCAGCTTTATATAGTGTTATCAAATATTGATGAGGCAAAGTGGTGCCAACTTGATATTTAATGTACTTTTCCATTCTAATAATTACAAAAATCTGTGTATCGTAATCAATTTAAACAGGAATAATAGATAGATATAATAGGCAAGCTAATAGTTCTAAAATAACTGATAATGTGCAGTTATGTTTTCAAATGCATGCATACCAACTTGCCTATAAAAATGTAGGCTAATATTATGCTATGGTTAAGAAGATGTTTTAATAGTGTGAATTTGATTTTATACATTTCCATTATTGATTTATATAAAATTCAGTCAAAACTGCTTATGTGCATATTTTTTACTAATCCATTAAAACTAAAGTAACAAATTCACTAGTTTCCAGTTTTAAATAGAACTGTCATTGTTTAACATATTTAGACAGCTATCTGAATATATTCTGTGTACAAAACCGCTAACATAATTTTCAATTTATAAACCAAGTTTATTGAAATATCTTTAAATATAATTCTTCCAAGTAGTAATCATCTGTAATCATAAACCAAAACATTCTACGTAAAATGTCAAGAGTACTATATTAATAATAATTCATTCGACTGCTTAAAGCATTTGCAAATCACAGAATTCCATGCATGTTATGACCGTTATGTATAATTTACCCACGTATATGATAACATCAGGAGTCTATCAATAGGGTATATATAGGGTCCCTGTATACAGAGAGTTGCGCCAACTCGGGATTTGATGCCATTTTGTTTCCAAATGGATCCTCACCGCTGCCGCTTAAGTACAGCTCTGTATGGATACGCTGTACAATGGTCCGTAGTAATTAATTAGACTAATCGTGCTTCAATAAACTCAAAATTTACAGAGATTATAGCTAAGACATGTGTCTACGTGTATCTAGATTTCTAGAAATGTAACTCAAATCGTTCGCGCCATATGATAATTTAATTGTACACTTTCTTACGGCCATAGCCGTGCGTATCCATTTGGAAACAACCTGTCGTCCAGCGACCACGTGACCGATTTTTCCCGACTCGTCATGGCGCAACTCTCTGTATATATGGACCCTAGGTATATACCCAATAGGGTATAGGGTATATTGATAGACTCCTGATCACATGATCACCATTTCAGCTTCATACTTTGTTTGTCACTGTTCCTCCGTGAATAAAGCAAATTGTGTTTGATAACAGCTCAATAATCGTGAAACAAGAAGGAACTGATTTGGAGTAATAAATGGGGAGAAAACTTTTATCGCATAACATTGAAAGACCAGTAGAAAATATTTCAAGCAAGTAAGCTTGCTGGTTTCACTCCATGTTTTGCTGGAATTAGTATTACGTTTAGTATATGAGTAAGTACTGTGCTCCAATGAGTTTAAAATAGGTTTCTAGATGCTTCTAGTAGCATAGCTTCGTTTAGCTAGGTGTGTAATGATAAAAATGTGTGTATTTCCTTAATATGTGGTGGGTCCGACAATGCACAAAAATCCACGAAACGGTACATAGAAGGTCTTTCAAGAACGAACATTTCAAACTTGCACTGTCTTGCTAACGATTATAAGCGTGCCTCTGAAACCCATAGACTTGGAACCTACATGTGAGAGGAACAACAATCTAGGCACAACAAAATCTTATAACGAACGTTATCAGCATTCAAGTGAGTAACGCCATACATGGATTCCTCTGGAAATACTCAATATAGAAGGGCAACCCCTCCCCAATGCGATTAACGTGACATCCGTGTTGGGCGCACATAAACGTGCAATCTCAATGATGCACCTGCATCTACTTACTCATTGGTCTCACTCTAAAATGTCACCACTCTCACAAGGTGCATTGCTGACCATATCCTATACCAGTATGAAGAGCACATCAGCCATCATGATCAGAAGACAAACGTGTCATATTACGTACAGATGACATATACAGCCAATACTATGTTAGCCAACACCTCTGCAGATGGACACCTGTCTCTAAAGAACAGGGTGTTTTTAGTGGTAGTGGCCTTTTTATAAAGGGGTCATTCCGTGTCAAATCACCCAAAAAAAATGGAAATTTACACCTCACCTTCAAATTGGCTGAAATTTGGTTTATGGGGTAATTTAGGCTGAAAAAGCTGAAATTTCAAATTTCAGCTCCGTCGGACAAACGGTTTTCGCGCTACGGCGCGCCCTTTTTTGCCGATTTTGGCCAAAATGGACGCACCCGTCAATTTTCAAATGGTCATATCTCTGTAACTACTAGGCCAAATTGGTTGATATTGGTGTCTTTGGAAAGCTAATTGCATAGGCAATCCAAATCTGTCATTATTTGTTATATAGGAGCAGTATAAAGTTTGATGACCTTTTGACCTTTACTTTGAATTTGACCCTGTGGATCACGTAACCTTGAGATGAACTTCATTGAAAATTATACCTCAACATGTTTTTAAAAATTGGAGATATAATATTTTTTGTTTGCTTTCCAGCTCTTCTCAAAGTTGGCATAGTAGGTGCAATAACGCCTATATTCCTATGCAATGCTGTACATGTAGGCACATATGTATACCATACCAATCTATTTAAGATATCAAGTTAAACCCAAACATTGGCTTTGCTGTACATAACCTGATTGAGAATGACAGGTGGCAATAACATTATAAATGACTATTCAGTCTAATGAAAAATCATTATATTACCATGTTTTCAATTATCAATAATTCATTGATCATCAATGATCAAGTCCGGATGCACACTTGAAATCCTCGCAGCATCGTTTTCTGAGATAAAGTACTTTCTGGAAGAGGCTGATGTAAGAGATGGGGTGTTGATTAATTGTACACAGAATATCATCTTCTGTAACCCAGCATTGATCTGTTTCCAATGGCCATTTGAATTGCTTGGTAGGTCCATGAGGGTGCATAAAATTGATGTGGTAGTCACCAAACTCCTCCGAAATTTCCTCCACCATGCCAATCCACGGAAAGCCGTCATAAAGACAGCAGACCAAGTTTTGTTTCTTTATTTCTGATTGCACAGATGGTTCTAGTTCTGCATCATTACTGTCTCAGAACTTCTTTGCAACATCACATGGCAAGAGTGCCTGTGACGGTATAGGAGGGACTGTCATTAAGCGATACTAGTCACCAAGGCTAGCCTGCAGCGCCCATATAATGACCAGATTCTGACAGCGGACGGAATTATGGATTTCTGCGTGGAGAATATCCCTGGTATCACGTTTTTCAATGTGACACCTGACCAGAGGATGTAACTCAATCAGCTTCAGAGTTAAAGGACAGGTTTGATATTGGTGAAAACTATCAAAGAGACACTGCACATACCACAGATTCGTTCCAGTCTCCAACTCTACGCTACATGTGTACAAGTTGAGTAACCAAGTGGCCTGCGGATTTAGTACATGTTTCAGACAATAATGATGCAGAACTAGAACCAGAACCATCTGTGCAATCAGAAATAAAGGAACAAACTTTGATCTGCTGTCTTTATGATGGCTTTCGCTGGATTGGCATGGTGGAGAAATTTCGGAGGAGTTTGGTGACTACACGCATCAATTTATGCACCTCATGGGACCTACCAAGCAATTCAAATAGCCATTGGAAACAGATCAATGCTGGGTTACAGAAGATGATATTCTGTGTACAATCAAACCCCATCTCTTACATTATCCTCTTCCAGAAAGTACTTTATCTCAGAAAACGATGCTGCGAGGATTTCAAGGGTGCATCCGGCGACTTGATCGATGATGATCAATGAATTATTTGATAATTGAAAACATGGTAAAAATGATTTTTCATTAGACTGAATCGTCATTTAGAATGTTATTGCCACCTGTCATTCTCAATCAGGTTATGTACAGCAAAGCCAATGTTTGGGATTAACTTGATATCCGAATAGATTGAAATGGTATACATATGGTGCCTACATATACAGCATGCATATGGAATAGGCGTTATATGCACACTATTATGCCAACTTTGAGAAGAGCTGGAAGCAAACAAAAAATATTATATCTCCAATTTTTGTATATTATGTAGAAAACATGTTGAGGTATAATTTTCAATGAAGTTCATCTCAAGGTTACGTGATCCACAGGTCAAATTCAAGGTCAAGTAAAGGTCAAAAGGTCATCAACTTTATACTGCTCCTATATAATAAATAATGACAGATTTGGATTGCCTATGCAATTAGCTTTCCAAAGACACCAATATTAACAATTTGGCCTAGTAGTTACAGAGATCGACCATTTGAAAATTGACGGGTGCGTCCATATTGGGCAAAATCGCCAAAAAATGGCGTGGCGTTGCGCGAAAACGCGTTTGTCTGAGGGAGCTGAAATTTGAAATTTCAGCTTTTTCAGCCGAAATTACCCCATAAACAAATTTCAGCCAATTTGGAAAGGGTAAGTGTAACCCATTGGGTGATCTGACACGGAATCACCAAAGGTGACTTGCCATTTCCTTGAGAGGCAGCTATACAGTAAAACCACCTAAGCTGTATAGAATGAATACCTGTCTATAAAGGACATTTTGGGGGTTTCTATAATGCGAGTCTCATGCAGTTTGATTGCATATGGCGTTATTAAAAGGTTGCTAGAAATATATCAAGCATAGGATGCTGATTGTAGTATATGGCTTTAAGATTTGTAGATAGGAGGGAAGTGCTCATTCACGTTGCTGCGCTTGCATTATTCTGTGCAGAAGCTGCTAGTTGCAGAAGTGCAGTATACTGTGGTAGACCCTCCTTGTTTACCTCCAGGTCATCAATCTGAAACCGTAAAATTAACTGTAATTTCCTGCTGCATTTTGTTTCATTCTTCCAGTTTATTAGATTTTCTTTCTCCCTTTCACCCCCACCTCTCTTATTTCTCCCCTCCCCCTCTCGCTCTCTCTCACCCCAAAGCCTTGGGTGTTTACTGTTAATAGTCTATCAGCTGGAGGAAGTCCTGTGTGCATTTATATGTCCCCGCAGTTTGACGCTTGATTCATGTAGGGACACCCCTGGGAGTAAAAAAACTTGGGTAGACATTCTGAATCATGGGAAGGATAAGTAAATTCAAGATGGCGTTCAAGATGGCCGTCAATTCATGTAATTGACCATAACTCGCCACCTATTTATGATAGGAGGTTGATTTTGGTGTCTATCCCTATTTTATGGGTCAGGCTATCCATTAAAACTGATACCCGTACGAAAATGAATTGCATCATTGGTTAAATCTAAGATGCCACGAAAGGGACACCGTATCATATAACATGCTATAACTTCTTGCAGACTTATGATAGAGTGTAATTTTCGTGTCTATCCCTATGTTTTAGGGTCAGGTTATCCACTGAGACTAATAACCAGATTAAAAACGCACTGCATCACCATTCAAAGCTAAGATGGCCACAAATATGACCGTCATTTATTGAACAAGTTTTCACAAATCGCTATTAATACCAGAGACATTTACAGTATCATGATATTATTGGTAGGTAACTTTAATACTGATCACTGTGTCCTTAGGATACCAATTTGGGTTTCTGCAGTCATCGACTTGTTCGGTCTGGCCTTTGCAAAATTCGCAACACTTGGCACCATTTTGTTGACACACGCACCTTGCTGTAGAACACTTCACACAGGAACACACAACTGCAACATCGTCGCGCAAGGTAGATGGAAACTACGCGCAACAAGCAAGCACCATCTGATAATTCGAATCCAAAGTCTGTAGGTTCCAGAGTAAGGACACTCAAACAGTTCATCTGACTATAGGTGGAGTAAAAGCCTCTAAAATATGTCCGAGTTCTTTCCCGATTCCTTGAGGTGTGCTATTGGGTTCGCTTTGGGAGCTGCCAATTTGGTGCCAAATTTGCTTGTGATGTCACATCCAGTCAACGCATGAACGCGCCGGCAGTACATCACATAATTCACGCCCCTGCTTTATGCCAATACATGTACTGGGGATGTACTTGATACTGTCCCCTACACCTGCTCTCCACGTTTAACCATACATGCGTTTTAAAGATCTGGCTGAAATGTAACAACAACACCAACACATCAGTGTCATTGACAGCGTGACAATCCTTTGACACCGATCCTGATATGGCATGCAAAAACATGGGGCATGATTCGAAACTCCGCTTCTTCAGAGTAGAATCGAGTTCATTGTATTCGTTTGTAATTCCCGAATAGACTGACCTCTGTCTTCGTAGACACTGTGCTCCCTTCAATTTGGCTAACCACAATTTCACACCAGGGACTCGTGTAGGACATTGGTCAATCAGAACCTAGTCAGCAGTTCCTTCTAATTTTCCCAGAAGCTGTTCCATTTCCTTTGGCAGTTTAGTCTCAGGATTGACTGACTCGACGGTGGTCCATTGTCCTCCGTTGTCGTTCACTGTCCACAGATCCTTCGATTAGGAATCAAAAACAAAGTCGATAACGGCTGGCATTGACACTCAAGGCCATGACGGGTTTTCAAGATACCTCACAGAAATCTCCAAATGTTCTCAATGACGACGTTCTAATTTTCTCACATATGCTATTACATCTACAAAGTATGCAGTTGGCATTGCCGTCCACTGAGACGGACCTGTGTAATCAGCACTGGTCAGTGCTTTTCGAGTTCGTTTGTTCAGTTCACTTTGCAGGTTTCTTCATAAACCATCGTCATCGAAGAGGTAACTGGGAGACACGAAGGTCGTGTTGGACACATATCGCGGGCATCACAACGCGTACTCGAGCAATATCTAACTTCTTCTGTGCTGACCCAAATCCTTCTTTCTTGTTTGTGTTTGATATTTTGCTGGTTTCTTCTTTCGACCGATGGCGCTGTGCAAACGTCTTCAGTTCACCGTTTATGAATAACATCACTCAGGCGCTTCGTTTTGTCTATTAGTCTATCCTTCAAAATTTATTGTACTCTCAACACCAGATTCCGTTGATTGTCACAGATCCTTCGAACAGCATCAGGCATAATGGCAGACGACAGGATGTTGTGCAGCCGTGTTTCTGTATCTTCGACATACTTGAACGGATTCTCATGGGTAACCACATTGCCTCATGTCATCAACCTTTTGCTCCCGCCTTCAGTACGTCCAGTGGTGAATTCATGGTTGACAACTAACTCAGAATCGTCCATTCTGACTGCGCTATCTTCCTAAAACAGGTGGTTAACAGACATCATTTCATGTGAATAATGTTCCATTTCGTAACGTATTGCTTCTTCCTGGTGTCTCACATGATACCGGCACTGGCTTATCGAGAACGGTTTATTGTTTGCTCTAAGCACATTGTCCATTGCAACGGCGCTGTGAATGGAGCTGACGAATCCTTGATCACAAAGCCCCATTCAGAAGTTCCATGAATAGCTGGTGCGTGATTCAATGTGATGTACTGCCGGCGTTCATGCGTTGACTATATTGTGACATCACAAAGCAAAATTTGGCACCAATGGCAGCGTCAAGCGAACCTAATAGCAGCACATCAACGGACTTCGGGAAGAACTCCGGACAATTGTGTCTAGCTGAATCGAACTATATCTGGTAGCACGGTCGTGAAACATGGTAACCATACTATACAAAATATGTATGAATTACGACATAAGTCTATACTAACACAGCAAGTCTGTGACCGTTCTGGAACTTACCACCGACTAGCCACGCAGCTACAGGAACATATTTCAGAGCCTTTTACTCCACCTATAGTCAGATGAACTGTTTGAGTGCCCTTACTCTGGAAACCTACAAACTTTGGATCGAATTATCAGATGGCTTGCTGTTCCATCTACCTTTGCCGACGATGTTGCAGTTGTGTGTTCCTGTGCGAAGTGTACTACAGACAAGGTGCGTGTGTCAACAAAATGGTGCAAGTGTTGCGAATTTTGCAAATGCCAGACCGAACAAGTCGATGACTGCAGAAACCCAATTGGTATCCTAAGGACACAGGCGTGCATCGTATTAAGTTACCTACCAATATATTATGTATACTGTAAAATGCTGCAAGTATTATATTAGCGTATATGATGCAAAGTGTCATAAATGACGGTCATATTTGGTGGCCATCTTAGCTTAGATGGTGATGCAGTGCGTTTTTAATCTGGTTATTAGTCTCAGTGAATAACCTGACCCCTAAAATAGGCGATAGACACGAAATTACCCTACTTTCATAAGTCTGCGAGAATAGCAGTGCATAGCCAGTATGTAGCACTGTAGGCCCGTGCCTACCACTTTTTTGGCCAAGTTATCTTTTTTTTAAACACCCATAATTCAAATCCATAGCTTGCCTGGACAGAGTTTTAAGGTCTAGACAGAGAAAAACTATTGAAATGACACGTAGCAAGAATATGGCTAATTAGGTGACCTATTTTCTGTCATCTAAGGCTGTCATTTCTATCGCGTGCCATTTCATTCACGACTCTACCCGCCGAAAAGACTAGGATCCGATCTTGTCAGTTTTTTAACATTTTAACTCTTCGTAACACTATTTGAACTCGTTTGTTTTTTGGGTTAAAAGTGATATGAATGAGTGTCTCAAGTTAGCAAGAGGCCAGGGAACCAGAATGAACACTCGGAAGGGCCGTTTCCGGCCATCTGGGGGTTTGTAAAACCAAAAATTTTCTGGTACGCTCCGCGCCAACGATGGTGGCGCTTCCGCTCAGATAGTCGTGCCTACAACTTTGAAAATCCTGGCTACGCCCCTGGAAGTTATAGCAGTTTATATGATACGGTGTCCCTTTCGGCGGCCATCTTAGATTTAACAATGATGCAATGCATTTTTGGTACGGGTATCAGTTTTAATGGATACCCTGACCCATAAAGTATAGGGATAGACACCAAAATCAACCTCCTATCATAAATAGGTGAGCGAGTTATTTGAATACATGAATTGACGGCCATCTTGAACGCCATCTTGAATTTCACCTATCCTTCCCATGATTCAGAATTTCTACCCAAGTTTTTTTTACTCCCAGGGGTGTCCCCTACATGAATCAAGCGTCAAACTGCGGGGACATATAAATGCACACAGGACTTCCCCCAGCTGATAGACTATAACTGTCCGTCTACACACAGAATTTCACATTTACAAACAATCTATAAAAAACAACCCAAATTGAAAAGACCAACAGAAAGAAGACCCTGTTGCCACTTCACATCTTTTGCGCTTGTATCATGTTTCTCATGTCCAGTAAGTCACTCAGCAGCATTGATTTTGGAACCGTCGGCTTTCAGGCTAACTTCTATTTAAAGACGCCTTCCCACGAAATTTCAAGCGGCAAACATAAAATCAGACAAAAATGAATTATTTTAACATTGCACGTTTGTACGTGCCTATAATTTTATATGTGTGATAGGTAAAAAAATGCTTGGGAATACATTCATTCTAAGCTTTTAGACTACAAAGTGAAAGTGTCAGGTCGAATGTTTCAAACAGCGTTTACTTTTGCCGCTCTGTGGCGATGTTGTGACGTATAGAGTACCGAAGTGTGACGTCACGGTGGCATGACAACGAACCCACTGGTTCTAAACAACCCACTGGCTCCATAACATTAACTGCGTGAAAATGTTGTGCGTACATAAAACACGAGTGTGTGCGCTGCAGACAGCGGTAAAGCATCGGTAGCAAGTCGATCTTACAATATTTAATTAATTAATTATTTAATTTAAATTTTTTTAAATTATTATTTAATTTTTTTTTCGTTGCTTTTCACTTCCATCCTTTGGAAATCGATAAAAACTGCAAATAACAATAATGCAACATTAAACAATAATGCAATAATAAACAATAATGACTCTCAGAATGATGGTTACAATCGGGTCCAAAACACGACACAATTTTCACGCAGTTAATGTTACCAGAGCACATGATTGTTTATAACCAGTGGGTTCGTTGTCATGCCACTGTGACGTCATCACTTCTGAGCTCTATTACATCGTCATTTTAAATCAATGAGCCGTAAACACAGAACCACCATTATACAGAACCGCGGCGAAAAACGCGTTTCGAGTTATGTTTTCGTTGAGCAAATATAGGCTTGATACATATTTTTACATTTTTATTTTCAAAGCTAACGTTCAGTTAAAGTGTAGTGAGTTATTTACTTGTCTTTACAGTCAGGTAGTTTTTTACAGTGTTTGTTACAAAAATTTGAGTGGGTAGGCATCTTTAATTAGGGGTGCGACGATACAAGTAGCTCACGATGTGAACAATATCATGATACTGCCTTCACAATATAATATCTATCGTGATACTTCCATTACAAACTAGTACTACCTAGCAAACCATACTCTCAACCAGGACCCAATCACGTACATGCTTACAAATCAGTGTCGCGGAGTAAACAACTAACTTTTGTTGAAAACCAACTAACTAACCTTGAACTAACTAATTAACTAACGAAAATAACTAAACTTGAACTAACTAATCAGGTGAAACAGAGCTAGGAGGCCAAACCAGCTTCCTTCTGGACAGAGGAAATTAGACACTACTGTTGGGTGGGGGTGGAACTGCTAGGGTTTTCTCAAGTTTCTGCCTGCCCTTTTCTCTGACAAAAAAAGTTAATTTCTAACCCTGCCATACGTCCACGCCTGGACTCCCATAAGTGCATAGACAAACTTGTGTTAGCAGCAACCTGTATAAAACACGTCTATAAAGGACACTCGTGACGTACACAATGAATAGCATGCAATAAAACCAAACCATCTATACATTGGAGAGTTGATTGAGCGACCCTTATATACAGGTATGACTTCATCAGGATTTGTTAATCTGTTAATACCCATGCACACTTCATTGACTGCCCTATTTGTAATTGCTGATGCGTAGAATGAGTCTCGACTCACCTCACGTCCGAGCTGCTCCACATCTAGTGATATCTGCAGACGTATCTTGTCATCGTCGCTCATGCCCTGTGTGAACGTGCTCATCTTTCTGCCCTTTTTCAGCCGCTTCAGACTGTCCTCCATCTTCCTCACCGAGGTTACAACGTCCGACGTCACAGTGTAATATCTATGACATGAGAAAACGTCACGTCACTACAGCATGCCATGTATCGCATATATGACACAAGAAACCACTTCACATTGTAGTGTTCATCACATGAGAAAGCATGCCAAGTCATCGTGTAGTATCTGTGACAGTATATATGATTTCACACAACTGTATGGTATCTGTGGGAGGAAACATGTCATTTCACTATGTAGGGGAGACCAGGGAGACTTCACAAAATGTGTTTGTGTGGAAACCTCTCAAGCACTAAGAAAAACTGTAACAATAAAGCCCCGGCCCCCCCCCACTCAGTGTTATTTAGGGTACGCATATGCTCGTTCCCTCCCTTTGAAAGCACCCCTATCTCAGGACTGCCTAAAATTTCTGAACCCACCTTTCGCGGGCTTTTTGCTGGTTTTTCCTGCCTTGGAGACCCCCTAAATCCGAACACTGCTCAATGCACCCCCTACCTCAGGTTAGCTCTCATACCAACCATAGTGACGTTAGTGTAGCGTGTGGAACTAGTCGAACCAGTCTACACTACGTAGTGTTAGAGTTCAGTGATCGAGGGGAACTAGGGGGCAATATTTTTACCATTTCAAAAATTAAATAATTCCTGAATGAGCTTTCAAAACTAGCAGGAATTTCAGGAATTTGATTCCGGGATTTGATAAAGTTTTCTATGATATTCAAGATGAAAGAGAGAGAGGAAAAACACCCCCTTTTTAAAGAAATCTCCGGGTGAAAAGTCAAATACACCCCCTTTTTTACAATTGTTGGGCCGGATTTTGTCGCGCGAAAAATACCCCTTTACCGGAGATTTTGGGAACGCGCATGCGGTCCCTCCGACCTCGGAGTGGGGGGCTGGGAATAAAGCACAATGGCCACTGCCATATTTGATCCAGCTTACACATGCACCGACACTGCACCATCTTCTTGCTGCACCACACACCACTGAAGCCCTAGTTATGATAGGCAGTGGCAGAAATTTTAGGGTATTTCCAGTTACTATCAGTTGGAGACGCATGAAGGCCCAGTTGTCTCTGTGTGAATAGAGTACTTGCCGCATGGTAGAAATCCTTCCCGGCATGCCAGGGCTAATTGATTTATTAGATCTTGTTGTACACTCACACGGCGCTTCTGATAATTTAATATTCATCAATTTCTTTTCTAATCAACTTTTATTATAGGATGAACTCACTGTTCACTCAGTCTCTGTATGATCGCAGTTGCCCACACTCGCCGCCAGGTGCCACTAATGTGCTTCTCGTGCTGCTCCAGGAATGACTTTAGTGGTCTAACGGACATAGCAACATACAGCGACGCTCTGTTTGGTACCTCTCTGTTTGTGCGTCGGTACAGTCGAGGAATATCATTCACTTGTTTCAAGTTTGCAACGCACTGGTTGACTATTTCATCAGTGATGTACATGGAGAAAGGCTGCAGCGTACTGGCAATGTCTGATATAGCATCAGCCAAACACTCTGCAAACAGAATGGATGTGCAGCAAAATGCATTTTCTTGCCTGAACTTTCACGAAATTCAAAAAATTATATATTATATATTATATTATATGTTGATGATATTAGCATAAACATAATTATGTCCTTGTGATATATTTTTAAAATTATTACAGGTGGCTACCGACATTTTATATTTGATTTAGTCCACACTGAATTACGTTAAATTCATCCAAATGGAACCATACGAACAATCCCATCGTCATTACGTATATATATATATATTTAACCTTGCCTTTACACTCTCACCCTTATCAGGGACGTAGGCTGAACAAATTTCAAGGGTGGGGGGGGGGCTCTTGATCGACGTCCAGTGTGGTAGGGGTGGGTCTAAGACAAGGCTTTCACAGATAAGTGACCAAAAAAAATAACGTTAGGGTTATTTACGATTATTAGCTAGGCTTATTTTTTTAATTTTGCTCCAAGATCTAGCCCCCTCCCCAGAGGCTACGGCCCTGCTTATAACATTTTAACTTGCCCTTACACATCCACCCTTACATTTACCTTGCAACAGATCGAAATCTTGGAAGTTGAGAAGAAGAAGACGTGGCTTCACTTTGTCATTGAAAAATTGTGGCATCTGAAAGATACATCACTCATTGACTTCTTTGGCTTCCATAATAACAGGTTACAAAAATGGTTGACAGTGCAATCCAGAGAGACATATGATACAAGATTGCGTGGCACAGCTTTGCTGTTGATCCTTAGCGCTGAGTGCGGATGAGACGCGAAGTTCCGCGGGATATGCGCACGCGACCGTGGGGACGTTCAAGTATGAAGCGCTGTCCGCAGTGGAGACGTGCGCCAAATTCGAGGCCTGGCGCACGTCTCCACAGCGGTCAGCGGATGGTCTGTAGTTTTAGAAGATGACAATGATTATATATGGACGATATTCTAGGAATTGGAGATTATAAAACAGTAACAAAAATCGCTCAGTCATACTCCAGATTAGCTGAATAAAAAAAAAAATGTTGGAGGATTTCCAAAATGAGTGCCTGCGCAGAATAATAACCACGCAGAAAACACAGAAAAATCTACGGAAAGGCATTGAAAGACATGAAAATTCCAAGGAAAGATACGGAGAAATCAGTAAAAATAACATATAGTTTCTATACGTAAATCGTGGTACATACATTAAAAACGCATTATTTTATTGAAAATCCCCATATTTTCTTATAAAAAATCCAAGACATGGCGCTGTGGCATGTAAACATTGGCTGTATTTTGATGATAAATGTTCAATGAATGACACACTCGTTCACTTCCGACAGCGAGTGAAAATGCGGAAAATTTTCCTCTTCGATGCGAAATGCATCGGCCGGGCATTTCATTATTTACGAAAAGTAAACGGTAGGTATAGGAACCGGTAACGTCGGTCACGCCCCATTCATGCCCATCAACAAAGAAGGTGGGGCTTATTCCGATTACGGAGATGCAAAAATTCAACAGAAGGACGTAGAGCAGTGTGCTAAACAGCGTGTTATTTTCGTTTTTGTGCCAAACTCTATCGTAGGAAACCGTTCTAGCCTAGCAGAATGCCCTAGTTCCTGAGATCGGCGATTCCATGCTGTTATGGGTCCCCACCTATAAAAATATCAAACAGAGTAGGCGTAGGTGCGGCGTAGGCTGTGATTGGAAGACACAAAGTGTCAATCCTCGGCAAGCCCCGGCATCATGGCCGCATCACTTCAAAGCCCCACAAATATATGCCATCCAGTCGAAGTCGTCAGAGTTGAAGTTACTGTGAAGACTAATGCTAACACAAATTTTTTTTCTAACAATGGGCCCCAAGTTTACTGATGACACGTACATTTTTTAAACTAAATCGCACACACGACATCCTCAAATACCAAGAATTATACATTCGATCACCATTAAAGATCAAAATGCAGGGATGAGATTGGATAATTTAATTTTCAGCTGAAATTTGAATTAGCAAACAGAGGAGCGAGCAATGCGAGGACCGTAGGTCATCGCCATGCTAGGGGGGTCCGGAGGCATGCTCCCCCGGAATTTTTTTTAAAGAATGGTGCAATTTGGTGCATTCTAAGCTATTCTGAACACATTATAGGAGACTCTTGAATCACCTTTTCAAGTTGTCAAAAAGAACAAACGAACTATAATAGGAAATCAGGGGGCTGAAAATAGGGCAAATTTTTTATTAAATGTCTAGACATAATGATCTTTTTCTGTTTCCACCCGTCGCTTGCATTGTTTTACTCAGACATAAGCTGCCTTGCTGCGACCAGATTTGAATGAAAAAAACACAATGCGAATGGAACAATCAGTGCATAGTCATGCACACAACATGCACGCAGCAACATGTAAACCTGGTCCCCAGGCCAGGCATGGTCGTTACGTGATCAGCTACCTCAAATGTTTGCCCCTCTACTGCAGCCTGTGAACGAGGATTTTCTTTTCTGGTACGCAAAAACAGATACACTGTATACTTCGCTGTCAGCCTACTGTCTACACTCTACAGTCAGGTGCTGTTGAGGGTATATAATTTAAATTGTTACATTGTTACCCCCCTCCCAATTTTCTAAATGAATTTAGACGTTTCACAAAATCGACCCCTGGGACTTTCAAATCCGCGGATTTCCGCGGATCCGCGGAAGAATCTCATCCCTGAAAATGGGCATAAAAAACATTCTTTATTGCCTGATCATTTAGATGTCTTCAGCCGGTCATTATTTCTGCATATATTTCCATACCTTCTGTGTGACCATCTCAGCATCAGTAATGAGCATGACACACTGCGACAGTGTAATCGTAGAAGTGGGAGAATGCCCACTAGGGCTGACTGATCGCCTGGTGGGGCTAGACGAACGAGCAACAATGTCTGTGCTTGGACCATCTACACTGGAGGACTTACTCCTGCTGATCTGTGGTCAGGGAATAAAATACAGCACGTTTCTGAAACGATTCTGACAATTAAGTACGATGCCTTACATTATCATCAGGAGTAGATAATAGGGAAGGAGTGTGACTTCAATAAACAAGGGAAATTCGTCATTTACTAGCCTTAGAATACCTACGATTTACTACGCGTAACTCAACCAACTTGAGCTCAAATCATACACAGTACATTCGCCTAGCATCGTGCGAAATCGTTTCCTCGTATACACCCGCAATCCGGAGATACAGACTAAAACGTACGACACGATTATCCATTCTGTTGCCATCAATCCGAATGTATTTCCCGCCTAACTCGAAACAAAAGGCAGCTACTAACCACAGCTTGCTCTCTCAGCGAGGTAGTTTGGCTCGCTGGGAGATTGGACATCGACGCAACACTCGCCGAGCTAATCTGACCTATTTACAGCTGGTATGTATCCGGTAATTTGTGGTATGCGTCCCCCCCCCCACCGCAATCAGCAGCAGCTCTGCGGCTCAGCGGCAGCGTGCCAATCTCCCAGCGAGCCACACCGCCTCGCCGAAAGAGCAAGCTGTGGTTAGTAGCTGCCTTTTGTTTCGAGTTAGGCGGAAAATACATTCGGATTGATGGCAACAGAATGGATAATCGTGTCGTACGTTTTAGTCTGTATCTCCGGATTGCGGGTGTATACGAGGAAACGATTTCGCACGATGCTAGGCGAATGTACTTACCGTGTACGATTTGAGCTCAAGTTGGTTGAGTTACGCGTAGTAAATCATAGGTATTCTAAGGCTAGTAAAAGACGAATTTCCCTTGTTTATTGAAGTCACACTCCTTCCCTGTTATCTACTCCTGATTATCATGCATGAAATCAGCAATACTTTATTAGGAAGGAAGTGAGCAACGTAATTGTGTGGTGCAATGATTTTTAAATCACGTTTTACAGATTGGTTCTTGGTTACAATGACAGAATTCCATGAGTAGACAGATGGTAATAGGTAAACCCATGCTCATCCGAATCCTACAAATTGAGCACAGTTTAACATGGCACTATCGGATCCAAAATTCTTTATGTAAACCGTTTGGATATATTCAATTAATTTTTGATGCCTTTACATAGGCTCAGCTTACCACCCCATGTCTGACGCAATATCAGGTCTGGAACTTCACGACAGCAAAGATGGCAAGTGCAGTGTTTGCATCCTCACTTACCATGGTACCTCAAAAATCTGCCAGCCCACTGTACTCCTCTATCCACTTTGCCTCCAAACCCTTTCTAAAAATTATCTTTCTATATGTATCCCTTTCTCTCTCACATACGGTGCTGATAAAAGGTCAGTTGTCTCGATGCCCCTCCTTTGAAGAGAATGTTGGCCTTGATTTCTCCTCCACCATGTCATGGCATCCTGATATTTCTAATTAAAACCAAGGTAACACTTGCCTTGCCCTAACAAAATTAATTCAAACCCCTGAAAACAGCGGTTTATACGAACTCTCTCATTACACAGGTCTTGCAGCCAGGATGCATAGCGCTTCAACAACTGCAGGCTGAGCTTCCAGAATCGATGAGCGAGTGTGGAGAGATAAACATGGTCCTCCCAGCACTGACACAGCCCACACCACAGCTGCACGGATGCAGCAAGATGGAACAGTGAGTCATCGACACTCATCTCAAATGCTGAGATGAGGGAGCTCTCATAGGTGCCGGCAATCTCCTGGAACCTGGCAGCAGAAAGAAAGAATGGGACTGTTCTCAAGAGGAATACCTACCACAAATTAGTTCACAAGCAGGAACTATGTTTAGTGACAAACAGGCAAAAAGTTGTATTCTGTCTTGCTCTACTCTCACTATATAATCATCACTCATCCAATCCTTCTTACCTTTTCCCTAATCTTCTCCCTGTTTCTTTCTCGTTCTCTCTCTCCTCTCCCTCCTTCTCTGTCCCTCCCTCTCTCCTTCTCTTTTTCTTTTTTAAAAATTGCTTATTATTTCTCTACATCCCTCCTAATACCTTTATAATTTCCTCTCTTCATCCACCTTCTCCTAACCTTTCTCACACACAACACATTATTATATACAATAAAGCGGTGAGTACCTCATACACTCATTAAAGAAATTAGCAAGATTTATGAACAGTTGTTTAACTGAATACAAATTTTTTTTTTAAGTTGATAAATTTTTCACGAGCCATGTAAACAATGAACTTCAAGCTGATGACAATGACAACCGAAGCTGACTCGCATTTATTAAACTAAAAAAAAACGTTGAAACAAGTGCAACGATAGAATGATTACCGTATCTGAAAGTATACTGGTAGGCTCCACTTGCTCATGAAGGTCGCATAGCTAGGGTGTGCTCGCAGCCTACCAACCGCCTCCAGTGTACCACAGTGCCACTCAAACCTCTCCAGGAAACTCATGCTTACAGAATAACTCTACAGAAAAAAAGAAAGATCAATGGTGATAACAAATGATGGGAAAAACTTATCGCCACTAAATGCCGAATGCACTCAGTAGAGGTACGCCCTGTTGAACTGCAGGAACTTCGTATTATTATTATTATTCTCATGAACCATTTAAAAAAATTATTTTGTTATTCGTGATTTATCAAAGAGAAATAAGTTATTACGTGATGGAAGTCGTCCGGATCACCAGGTGCAAATATAAAGGGTGTTCTTGACTCCAGGCATATCACAACTTCTGGCCAGACGGAATTCACTAAGATATCATATCCTCTCACGATGTCGTGGCTCCTACAGCATACATATTAACATACTTCAGCAAACAACTTCATACTTCATAACATAATAATATATAATTAACTATATACTATGAAAACGAGCATATAATTTGTAACATACTTCGTAAACTACTAGCACTACAAATCTTAGTAAGCACTACAGAACATGATAATATATATATATAATTTATTGCCATTGCATGATTTGCTTCTGCAACCACCACTACCACTACCACTACTAGTACTATTATTACTACTACTACTACCTCACTACTAACATACACTACCACTACCACCCCTACCACTACCACTATCACCACTACAATTATAAATTATATAGAAAAAATGGCTACTGATAATTGTATAAACATCAGTGAGTATTCTCAGTCGCTTACTGTGTGGCCCTGCAAGCAAGGAAAGTTTACACAACTTACGGATCGGCTTCCACGGTAGTTGTCACCTGCAATAGTTTTTTGCAGTGAAGTGGTATGACTTCCAACACCTGGTCATAAACATGCTTGAGTCCAACCTCTTTGACGTTGTTCTCAGAAAGAACCTATCGCACAGACAAAAATTGTACTAGAGTAACTCAACACATCAGTAAATGTCCGGAGAGTATTAGTTATTGCATGTGAACAGCTTCTATCAGTTGAAAATTTAAATCATAATCATTACCCACTGGTGACAAACGACGAAACAGAAGCACACACACATTGGCTCATATACAGGCGTGCAGATACACACACACAAGCATGCACGCACGCACATGCGTAGACATGCATAGACACGGGTTTACGCCCCGGTTGGCCTACTCCCATTTCGCCTACGGCGGAATTCCCAATTTCGTCTATAGCAAAACTCCCAGTTGGTCTACACCCATTTCGCCTACTCCCAATTCTTCTACACTAAAAATCAGCCCCATTCCAATTTTGTCTACGATCGGTTTGTCCACTAAATAATCATTTATAAATGTAATATATGGTTTTGATTAGCATTCATAGACTAGACGGAGTGGCATCCACACTAATTTTTTCTGGTATTTGTTGTAATATCAAGACTACGACGAAATGGAACTATTACCCATTCCGAGAGTAGACGAAATGGGAAGTAGGCCAACTGGGATGTGACCTAGACACGTACCTTTTCCATATAGGGTCGAATGCAGTTCTGGCGGAACAGGTTCTCGACATCACGTACTTTATCGATGGTGGCATAGGTGCGCAGACACTGTCGCAGTGTGGCCAGGTTTCCCTCCTCTATTCCCTCCACAAACTGCTGCTCCAGGCTGTACTGCAGCACAGACGTCACTTGTACGATACGCTAGCAAAAGAGAAAAGATCGAGAACATTTATAAGGCCTTTTTTCAAAGAATAGTGTTCAACAAGAAATCTATTCCCTGGATCATTTAGAAAGTACGCCTAACACTCCACTGGGCTAAACTGTAACCTAAAACTTATGTCAGTAAAGATTCTAATCTCTGCAATATCACTGTCTTTATATTCTGACCCTATCCAATCTAGGAGTCTATCTTTGTGTCTCCATCACTAGACCCTGTTCAATTTTTGACCTTTCTTTCAGGACACTACTCAGAGGAGAGATAACTGAAATCAGTAAAGCCTGTAAGACCAGGACTCTCTTGCCTCTAGCAATGAAAATCCTTACTTTGTCTCTGGCCCCTGGACCGGCTAGGAGATTTGTCTATGCTGCAATGCATCCATGGATTTCGTCCATACGTCAAGGAATAGCCTGAACACTAACCTCTTCCATCCATCCAGATGGCTTGAGATGTTTATAGCCGATGTTCATCCGCCATCGTATTTTAAACTTATTAACATATTATACCACTTTTAAGAGGATTACACAACCTATGCATGACAAACCACACTAGGCTGCTAGGTGTCAGTTCATACCTATAGCTGCTAGTATTAATGTCAGGGTTAGAATTTAGCGATCCAATATGTGTCTGTTGACATGAAACGTGAGCCTTCTTAGACTACCAATTTTAGTTGCACCAAATAAACTAATCGTGTTCTTTGCAGACTTACGGGCCGGACTTTGTCGAGCAAGGTGTGGCCATGACTGCTCGTCACGTGGTATTGTAACTGGTTAAACTCTGTGGCAACCCGCTCTATCAGAGGTCCGTCAAGCATACTGCAATGTGAATTCAAACAAGCGAGGACCAGCATTGCTTAATCAAGCTTAAATTATAGCTACACGTTAACACATGCCATCAACCCTCGTACTGTTTTCATCGGGGTAGTTAAATGATGCTAAAGATAGTGTCTACCTACATACCCTCTTTGAAACAATTCTAAACAAATAAATTGACAATTAGCAACTACTTAGCAGCCCCTTGTACACCAACAAGACTTACCAAAAGAGTTCACATAAAAATTATATATATTCTAAAGAGCTAAAGAAGCACTGCCTATTTTTGTTTTCCCACTAAAGCAATAGATGATAGGTACTACATGTATACTCACTCAGCTTGACTTTCTGTATTAAAACTTGTACTATCCGGTGCAATATTTAGTAAACGTTCTATCTTCTCCACTGATTCAATAATACTCATTAGTCTCTGAAGACAAGCCTAGAGTGAAGTCGAAGAAGATGATGAATCAGCATACAATAAACTCTAATCAGGTAGTTATGTATAGAATCAAGAGCAGATAAAGAAGGTTATCTGCTCTTGATAGAATGCAATTTCACATAAAGTTTCTTTTCACTTTGTAGTTTCAATTAACCAAATCTGATAGTACAGTGTAGTATAATATCAAGAGTAGATAATAGGAGAAGAGTATGACACCATTTTAGCAGCGTTTTGCATAGTTTTTAACTTGTAAATATTCTATCAATATGTGAATAAATATATTCAAAATTTACCTTGTTTTCGTTTATGATTCTCCCTTAATCATATGACACCACCAATTTACCTGAAAATCGTATGTGTCCAAAAAGTTTTTTGAATACAACACGGTTTCACACAGTTTTAACAAATGGACGCATCTCCACGGCCAAACTTTGTTATCGGATTAGTGTTCTATTGTCTCTGACGGGACGCTGGTGGCTGTTGGAGATTATTAGGCATCGAATTGTATTCAGCGTGTAGCGTTTCCAGCGTGCTAAAAATACATGTGTGCTCACGGCGAGCTAGCAGCTGATTTTAGCTGTGTTGCCATCGTTTTCCTGATGATAAGGAAGCGAAACAAGGGCTGTTACTGTGCTTACCTAATATCCACCACAGCCCCTACCGTTCCGTCATAGACAATAGAACACTAATCCCATAACAAAGTTTGGCCGCGGAGATGCGTCCATTTGTTAAAACTGTGTGAAACCAAGCTTTCATTTTTAAGGGGCGCGATTGCGCTCGCGCTCCACCCCGCACCCGAAATTGTGCCATGGTGCGTGCATCATCGCGCCTCATAAAAGTGGTTGAAATCGCGCACCAAAAGTATGTGTATTATGTTGAAATAGCGCTCCATAGAGTTGTCAATGTAGGGGGGTACAAAAAGGTTAGCAACACACAACAATTTGTGGTGTGTAAGTAACTGAACGTATGGAAGAGGTACAGGTTACTACTTTCTGGTTTATACAACTAGACAACAGCATCCAAATACAGGTACCTACACGGTAGCCACAAGTTACCTGCTCGTTTTCCACTATACGTGGCGATAAGTGGTTTTCTGCCGACGTGAAACAGTCGTAGGGTTGGAGGGGCTACATACGTGGCTACTACGTACAAGTAATTTGGCTAGTTTGTTGATGGATTGTGATGATATTTCGTGCTGAAATATGCAGGTACAGGATGAAAATCAGAATAAATAAAACAAGTTTATTTTTACATCCGATCAACTCTTTTATTAATCTGTGTGCTAGTGTTGGGTTGTTGGATGAAAAGAATGTAATCATGACGAAGCCATTGAATGAATGAAGGTAAAGATGAATGATAATCAGTGGATTGACATGACATCCCAATTTTCGTTTTGGATTTCACTCTAGACTGAGGATTGGTCATGATTCCATCATCACACCCCAAGAGGCATGATGGAGCCTTCAAGGAGCTCTCCATCACCCCTTTTAAGGGTGTGATTTTTAGTGGAGCTCTCCATCATGCCTCTTAAGGGTGTGATTTTTTAGTGGAGCTCTCCATCATGCCTCTTAAAGGTGTGATTATGGAGCGTGAAAAGACCCCCTATGGTGTCCTAGGGGAGTCATTAGTAGTCCTCCTGTACTTTTCAAATCTGAAAGCCTGTGAAACCGTGTCGTATTCAAAGAACTTTTTTGAAGAACACATACGATTTTCAGGTAAATTGGTGGTGTCATATGATTAAGGGAGAATCATAGACGAAAACAAGGTAAAGGTTAATTCTAACATATTGATAGAATATTTACAAGTTGAAAACTATGCAAAACGCTGTTAAAACGGTGTCATACTCTTCTCCTATTATCTACTCTTGATAATATCCTGCTATATGAAATATCCTCATTGTTAGTTGGACTACAACATGAAGGTAATCACACTAGATATAGTTACTTAGAAAACAAACTTAGGAAAACTTGCTCAAAATTTTCCTTAAAACTTTGACATCTAGTTATCCAGTAATTATCATGAAAAATCAGCTCAATAATAAATTTGATTAACATGAACTCATACACTTCTACTCGCTGTCGTTCTCTTTCGCAGAGTAATGGAATGACCATATCGAGGGATAAAAACTTCTGGACACTGACAATGACCTTATTTTCCCTTATTTCAGCACGGCGTTTAAGTTTCTGCTCCACCACTTTGATGCATTCCTTTACTGATGTTTGTACATCCTGAAATGCACGTGTAAATATAGATCAGCAACAGTAGGCCTATGTACATCCCCTGTGTCTGTGCTACCAGTAATTAATTTAAATTCTATGATTTAATTCAATATCTACATCGTTAGATTACCACTATCATTTATTAATAATGTTTATTAATCAATTATAGAATTATATCAAATAATATAAGCTACCTACCCTCACTTCCTCTTGTACTTGTTCTAGAGGTGTAGACAAATTACTTATAGCCTTATCTAAACCAACCTATAAAACATTAAAATAGCTGTTAATGTGTGTAGAACATATTACTGACAATTGACATTAGATTGTGCAACATAACCACAGCATAATAAAACTAGAAATGGCAGTTGTTGCCAACCACATGTATCCCCCATGATCTAGTATGAATGAAATATCTCCTGGTTTTGGTACGCGACACACCTTCTCCCCAAGATGTGTAAGCATACCAAGTTTGCACGCGCAAGGTCAATTAGGGGCCGAGTTATAGAGCGGAAGGAAAATATTATCAAGGTCAAGGTCAAATAAAGGTCGCAGTGACCTGTGTAAACCCTGCTCCAGTTCTTTGCAGTCAAACAGTCAGACAGAGACATAGGTAGTGTTTTACGCTGATCGTGCTTTTAATGTTTACTAGACTAACGGTAGCCTATCAGCAGAACATCATTACAGTACAGTGTGATCAGATTCAGATATATCCGGTCGGGATGATCAGCAGTGATCAACAGTGATCAGATTCAGCAGATCGGGGTGATCAGGAGTGATCAACAGCGATCAGATTCAGCAGATCGGGGTGATCAGGTTTCTAAAACAAAAGAAACCCTTTAAACGGTCAAGGGAGACAGTTAGCACTATAAATGAATCAACATAACATATGGAGACTTAATGTACATTGTACGGATTACATAATACTACATGCTAAGTCAAAATACAGTGACATTAATTTCTAGAGAATTTCTCTGAACAAAATCGGTCTTCATCTGACAACATCAATGGTTTACAAAGGTGGCATTCTTGCTTATAATGTCTTAATACTCACAAACACGTATGACCTCTATTTCTGTTACATAAACAGGTAAATGTTGCAGTATGAGCAGGGATTTACGGCTGCAATTCACCGGATAAAACCATCCAACCGTGACTTCCGGTTTCAACCCTCTTTCCTGGTAAATTCCCGCACGAGAGTGTATAAATCCGCGATTAACGCAAAATAGTGCCAACGGACACTACATACCCTCCTCCTTAAGATCTCCCAGAGCTTAAGAACTACTAAACATGTTATAATAGACATGAAACAAACATAACGTAGGTGGTTTTACCCTTTAATCTACGAATGGAATAACCCTTTAATATTAAAATGGTAATGACCCTTTAATACCAAATGGTTGTCTGGAGCTTTAAGGTTCACCTACACCACCAACTTTATGTATACTAACCTATACATACTGGCAAGAACATATTTACATATCCTAGATCTACTATACTAGGCACATCAACTGTACTAAGCTAATCATCGAGTTCTAACAGAACAAGCTTATCAACTGGTCTGGTAAGCGGGTTCACAGAGTTGGTCTTGACTGAGACAGACCTCACGCGGCCGTCATTTCCAGGGAATACGTCAAGAACTCTGCCCAATGGCCATGAACATCTAGGGACGTTGTTGTCGGCGACAAGTACAATATCGCCGATAGCCAGGTTTCGAGTTGGCACAAGCCATTTCTGCCTTTCTTGCAGCAAAGGCAAGTACTCTGTTATCCATCTACGCCAAAAAACATCGGCCAGATATTGGACCTGTCGCCAGCGCTGTGTTACATACATGTCAGTTTTATGAAATAGACCTGGTGGTAGGGTACCCCCAGAGCGCAACAATAGCAAGTGGTTTGGGGTGAGGGCTTGGAGGTCACCAACATCATCGGACAGAGAGGTGAGAGGTCTGCTATTGACTATGCTCTCTACCTCACACATTAGGGTTAACAGGCTCTCATCAGTGAGAACTTGTTGCTTTAACAATGAGTTCAGGACCTTTCGAATTGTACGAATACACCTCTCCCACACTCCACCAAAGTGGGAGCCGGAGGGTGGATTGAACTTCCACTCTGTCTCTCGCTGTAGCAGGAACGCTTCGATGTCACTCTGGTTCCAAGCCAGTATTGCTTCACGAAGTTCACGCTCGGCGCCGACGAAATTGCTGCCATTATCGCAACGAATCAGATCAGGGTCACCTCGACGGGAAGTGAAACGCCTTAGCGCATCGATGAAGGATGGAGTACCCATCGTATGGGTAACCTCGATGTGAATGCATCGGCTAGCCAAGCACGTGAATATGCAACCATATCGCTTTAACTCGCTACGCCTACACTTCACCATAAACGGACCGAACAAATCGACACCGACACTCGTGAATGGGGGTTTGCCAGGCGTCACGCGGTCTGCCGGCAAATCGGCCATTTTCTGCTTTCCGACACTAGCATTACGACGTTTACAATCGACACATTTCCGTAAGACTCTACGGACGGCGGATTTACCATGCACAACCCAAAACTTTGCGCGTATCAAACTAAGGACATGGTCGCGTCCAGAATGGCCTGCATGATAACGATGTAGATGAGCGGACTATGATATCGGTGAGGTGTCCGCGATGTGGAAGAATAATCGGATTCTTCGCGCTGTCAGGTAAGTTTGAGTGCTTCAGTCTTCCACCGACTTTCAGAAGACCATTATCCATCACTGGATCGAGCTTCCGGATGACGCTAGATTTGTGGACGTAACCTCGTTTTACTGTTTTCCTCTCCAAGGAATTCATTTCCCTTGGGAAATGTGCACGCTGCACAGATTGCAGGATGAGAACTTCGGCTTCTCGCATTTCGGAGACTGAAATGTACTCAGACTTTGACGGAACGGTGTGATTGCCATCGTTCTTCCGCTTCTCAACTGCTGATTTCAAGCACGCGATGAATCGTTTCACCCGTGCGATGACCATCTTGGCCTTCTGCCATGATGAACATCTTTCGACTGCAGTAACTATAGCATTGTACTCTGGACCGGTTTCCGTAACGGATTGAGCGAACGCAGATTTCTTAATTTCTGGGTCACTCTCGCTAGAGTGCGTATTGCCAACATTATTCAACGATTCCTGAGCCGGCCAGTGGCTTTCGTCCTTTCGTAGAAATTCGGGTCCGGTTGACCACCTCGAATCGTTCGGAAATGTTGATATGTCTAGTCCCCGAGAAGCGTCGTCACCAGGATTAAGAACTCCGGGAACATACCGCCACTGGTCAGGCTGTGTCTTCTCGTGGATCAGAGACAGTCTATTCGCCACGAACGTTTTGAAACGACTTTCTTCATTGTTTATGTACTTCAGAACGGTTGTGCTGTCCGTCCAGAAGGTAGAACCATCAATCGTTAGTTCAAGTTCATCTCGTAGCGTCACGTCTAGTTGAACGGCGACTGTTGCTGCAGACAGTTCTAGACGTGGGATTGTTGTAGTCTTCAAAGGGGCAAGTCTAGACTTCGACATCATTAGGGCGGTTTGAATGTCGTTGTCTTCGTTGACGAGCCGTAGGTACGATACGGCGCCGTATCCCCTTTCTGAAGCGTCGGCGAAATGATGTAGCTGTTTCGACGTAACACGGCCGAAATCTGCCGGCTGTACACATCGCGGTATGGACATCGACTCCAACTGTGGCAAATCCTTCAACCACTTGATCCAGCGAACCGCATACGCGTCCGGAATATCGTCGTCCCAACCCAGGCCGAGTCTGCATAGGTCCTGGCTGACGAATTTCGCTGGTAACAGGTATGGAGCGACGAGCCCCAGGGGATCGTAAATCGAGCTTACGACGGACAGTATGCCACGGCGCGTTAACGGCTTCTGCTTTACATTAGTCTTGTATCTGAACACGTCTTGCTCCATGTCCCACCAGCAACCAAGGGCACGTTCACTGGGCAAGTCCTTGGCGACAAGCTCTCGTAAGCTGACTGCTCGTTCATCGGCGGGGATTGAAGCAAGAACATCACGTGAGTTTGACGCAAACTTTGTCAAACGAAATCCGCCTTTCGACAAGAGCTCGTGTACATCCTCTATCAGTAGAATGGCATCGACTTCGGTAAGCACGGACTTTAGGCAGTCATCGACGTAGAAGTTCTTTCTCACGGTGTCGATGGCTTCTTGACGGAATTTTCCCTCATTATCTGTCGCGGTTCGGCGCAATACGTAGTTACAGACACTGGGTGAGGAGATAGCGCCGAATATGTGTACATTCATGCGGTAGTCAATCGGCTGCTTAGATATGTCGCCACCAGGCCACCAGAGGAATCGCATGGCATCGCGGTCGTCCATCGGCACGTGGACCTGGTGGAACATGCTTTCAATATCAGCCTGGAAGGCGATGGGGCCTTCCCGGAAGCGGGTAAGTACGCCAGTTAGCGAGTTTGTGAAGTCTGGGCCCTGGTACAAAGCCTCGTTAAGCGATACACCACGGTATTTCGACGAGCAGTCGAAGACTACTCTCAATTTGTCAAGTTTCTGCGGATGAAACACTGGGTGATGCGGTAGATACCAGGTCAACCCTGGCTTCCCAGTCATCTGAGTCGAAGTTACGGGGCCAGCGAACGATCGCTCTACTAAGTTATCGATGTAGCATTTGTATTTCGTATGTAAGTCGCTGTTGCTGGACAATCTTCTACCGAGAAGATTGAGTCTATTTGCTGCGAGAACCCGGTTGTTCGGCAGCTGCGGTGCATCAGGTTTCCATGGCAACCCGACTTCATAATGAGTACCGTCCATTTTTGTAGAGTCTTTCATCAGTGAAAGTGCAGATTTATCGTTAGCTGACATTTCGACGGCCTCAATGTTTATATCGTTGAATTCGCGGTTGCAGTAGCCCTTGAACTGTTCATTCAGCTGGGTATCGGCTTTCAGCGCATTAACACATACGTTACGATCACGTACTGTTGCTATTCAGGGGACCGTTAACCGTCCAACCAAATTTCGTACGTACGGCGAACGGACCATGTGAGCACTTCCTTACTTCCTGTGGCTCCAAGGCGCTGCAGTTGTCATTTCCGATCAGCAAGTCGACGCCTGCGCCACGGATACTAGTAACCTGTACGCCTTGCAGGTGCTGCCATCTGTCTACGTCCCGCTGGTCTGGAATATCATTCGCCGACACAGGGAGCGTTTCAACGGCAAGGACGTTTGTCAGTCCAAGGAAATGTTGGTCATCAAGGCTACTGACACTCATCGAGACGCACTGACATTCCCTTTCGCTGGTATTGCTCATCGTCGTGAGGTTGAATTTCGTAGATTCCCCTCGCATGTTTAGACGATCGAGTAAGCTCGTGGTGCAGAACGAAGCGGTAGACCCACTGTCGAGGAATGCATGGGTTACGACAACCTTATCCTTGGCTTGGATTTTTACTGGCACGATTGGCATTCCTATTCGATTCGACGGGCCATCGATCAAGGCGTTGCTGACGTTGTTAGCTATATGCAATAGGCGGTGATGGTTCCCATTGCAAGTCGACACTTCTTCACACTATAGGTGACATCATATAAATCACAAGTAAATACCTGGTGATATACCAAGTACATAGGCCCTACCTGGTAATACTGGAATATACCAAGTACATATCTGGTGATATACCAAGTACATACCTGGTGATATACCAAGTACATACCTGGTGATATACCAAGAACATACCTGGTGATATACCAAGTACATACCTGGTGATATACCAAGTACATACCTGGTGATATTATTATGATATACCAAGAACATACCTGGTGATATAGCACCCTGCTTGCTGCAGTATCTTTGCTGGTACACTGCAGGGATCGGGGTGTGAATGAGTGCTTGGAGAAGTCTTTACAGAAAGTGATCAACACATCACTGACGGTAGTCGTTGTAAGCTCTACGGGATAGAAAATACTATTTCATGCCTTCCGCTCTTACAATTGCAATGAACATGAAGGTAACGGCCTGCCACCCATCACATAACAACACTGTATTTTAAATATAGTTGCTGAACTCCATGTATATAGACCTCGTGTATGAATTGTTATTCATACAACAAATATCTATGTTGTGGGAATACCCCTCGTTTCGCCCTCTCCGAATCAATACCCAATTTCAGTTTTCAAATTCAATCTTAGTTTACTCTCCATGCCATTCTCGGAATTATCATACCAATATCATTATCCCTACCCTATATATATTACCCTATTTATCATGCCAATTGAGCAACCATCTTTGTTAGTCACTGTAGTCGTTTCAATTAGTAAACATTTGTTTAGCATTTTTGAGCGCGAGCGTAGTGGTGGTGGTGGGAGGATGGTGGGAAGAGGGGAAGGGAGGGTAATAGGGGAAGTGGTGGGGGAGGAGAGGGGAGGGGGGGAGGGAGCAAAGTAGAGGAGGCTCTAATAGCAAAAGCAGTTCAGTCCTTTGTTAAAAAGCGCACTATGCGCATCTACACGCTTATTTCGCCAGTACTAGACTAGCAAATACTTCGTGTCATGCATAATCACACTACCTTATGACAAAATAAACTCTAGTTCCTCCAATTTCACTGCGCGTTTGCTTAAAACCTACAAGATAGAGGTGCGAAATCTGGTAATCTGGCACCAACGCTGAATTGTTTGCCAAACAATTTCGCCCCGAATCGGTTAGGTGACGTCACATGTTTTTATCTTTGCTACACCCATACCGCTGTACTGCAGCACCGTTGCACGGTTGCTTGGCAAAGTGTCAACAACATCGGAGAATTTGAACAACATTAGATGTATTTTCAAATGCCCTTTATAAGACAACGCGCAGTGAAATGGGAGGAACTAGAGTTTATTTTGCCATAAGGTAGTATGATTATGCATGGCACAAAGTATTTGCCAGTCTAGTACTGGAGAAATTAGCGTGTAGATGCGCATAGTGCGGCTTTAACAGTCAACAAATCCGTGTTTACCCTTCCTCTTGAGGGTCAAACGGTTATCAGACACTTACTCTTCGCACGTCAGCGGAAAGCACATTTCATGGTCCTTTTGATAAAGAGATAAAAATGCTAAGTCAGCACTGAAACAAAAGTTTTGCACACGGTCCGTCAGACCATAGTCTCGTCTACACGACGAAATTTAACTCGAGTTAAGCGTTAACTCGAGTTAGCGATTATGTAGCGTCTACACGACAACACTCGATAGCGATGGCAGGCGGACTCTCGAATACCCGGATGTCAACACTAAGTACAAGTGTTGCCGCCTATCATGGAGTTATGTACTATTCGCTAACTCGAGTTAAGCGTCTACATGACGATAACTAGAGTTAGCTTAACCTCGGTGGACTGGCGAGGTTAAGCTAACTCGAGTTAAGACCCTGTATAGACGCTTAACTCGAGTTAAGAGTCGTCGTGTAGACGAGGCTCATGTCCTCAGAAAATGTCTGATATCTGACCTTTCCCCCACTGCCCTTTGACCTGTGACATCCAATTTCGCGCTGGTGATGGGTTTCCTCCCCATCACACTATACGTCGAATATTAAGAGCGTAGGTCAAGCCGTTGAAATTTGTGCCGCAATTCCGTATTTCCTCCTATACCTTAAGTTAAAGGAGAACTATTCCCCCTCCATTGACACACCTTGATCTTTGACCCTTGACCCACAAATTTGACATCCTCCGACGTCACGAATATCAAGAGCGTACGTCGAGCGGTTAAGATTGTGCCCATTGTTTGACGGACGGACGCACGCACGGTCATGCGATTCTACAAGCTATAGAATTATATTTTTAAGTTTTTCTTCATGTCTCTTCTACAGTTGCTACAAACACTGTTAAAGATTGCATGAAATTTCTTGTCCTTAATCCGAGGAGTGCCATCATCAGACTTAAACCTTTGAAGAACGAATGCTGAAAAGAGAAGAGACAAGGCAGTTAATTACAATTTTATTACTACTGGTAACTCTTGATTATCTGCATACTCAGTTGTCCACCACACGTTATTCCCAAATTTCAACGTGGTGGCTTGAATGGCGCCGTGGTTATATTATCAGTTTCGTAGGAGTGGTGATTTTAAGATATTTCTAAAAATAGACCCAAATAAGCATAATTTATGCAGAAGCTCAAATATCAGATCTTACTCAAAGATCATCTGTACCAAGTTTCATCAAGATCCAATTAAAACCGTATGAAGATAAGCAGTACGTACTATAAAGTTCACGGACCACAAAGCAAGTCATTATCATACCTTTAATGGCTGCAAGCACCCGCCGGTTGAGCTGTGCTTGTGTGTGCTCCCCTTTGTTGTTGTGTGCCTTGCGCACACCAAGGGCACTGCTCACAGCCAATTCATCATCACTGTAAAAGGACTTCAATAGCAACCTTGTCAGGAATTTAGGTTTGCCGTCTGCCTTGAGCACGGCTGAGCTTAGTTTATTTTTGTCTATTACAACATTTGGGTATGTTGAAATTTATAACTAAGCCCTGAGGCTTGCTGTAGGTAATCACTATGGCGTATGAGTTGTAAACTCTCACTTAATGTGCTACGCTAAATACCACATATATGACAATAAACAGAGACATGAGAATATCGAATGGAACGTTTACTTTATCAATTAATAGATTATCCAGTCAACAACAAGCACAATACTAGCTATACAAATGACGATCAAACAATGTCAAGCAATGTCAAACCAAGGTTTGCTTACGTATGTAGCGGTGCCTGCTCGGTAGGTGCGTGTGGTCCACGCAACTGAGTTGACTCTGCCTCTTACTCAAAAATACTGCTATATCTATACAAAATGTGTGGGTCGCGACTTATCTTGCGTCATTCGTTAGGTCGCGCCTTTTTTGGACTAGATGGTACTATGACGGAAAGGTGAGCGGACAAGAGGGTGATACCTGTGATTTGATGCTTTTTTTATATCCCTTGCCTACATTCTTACCGCAGATTGCATAGATTCACAGAAGGCCTACGTTCTATCTAGGCTGTTGAACTGTCGTTAAACTTGATACTGGTGATACTGATATATGATGTCCTGATCGTCATTGTATAGCAGGTCTATTACCATTACCTTGCGAAAATAATTTTAACCATTCACAAATATTATGTAAAAACTTATTATAATTACTCGCGCTAAAGTTATGTGATTAGTCGTGTAACATGCCTATATTCGTGTACAATGACGAGGGTTAGTCGCGCAGCCTTGGTCCTTGGTCCTGAGTCATTGAGTCCGTCGTCCTTCCGTTGTCCGTTGTCCGTTGTGCGTTCTTCCGTTGTGATAAATGCATGTCGTTGCAGAGGCTCCATGGAGTGGGGATGGGGTTGTACTGGCCAGCCCCAGATGACGTTGGGCATGGCTGGGCGTTCCTCATGTCCCGCTTATGGTTGGTGCAATCAATGGCACCCGCTGGTGAAGCCTCGTGGCAGGAAGCCATATGGTCAGTGACCGAGGTGCCTGGTAGCCTTTGAATCGCCCACAGATGTGGTGGCCGACAGGTGGTCGGTGGCCTGGCCAGGTAGTTGTGGTCCGTGCGGCCATTCGACATGTATGCAAGCAGCCGCTGGTGTTGCGAGGGCTGCATGAGTCTCTTCGTTGCCGCTGACTGGTCTCATATTGTCGTTGCTGATGCTCAAGAGGGTACAGTTAGATGACATGCCATACAGTTTAACCAATATCATGAGTCAAGTAGCTGAGTTTTTATATATTCATAGCTTGACATTGTTAGTCTATCTCTACAGTTACATATTGCTATTGTTAATATACATGGCAACGTAATTTAGTAGGTTATGGAAGGCTCCTACGTATGTGAGTGATCATCCACCTCACTTGTGTATGCACACTACTTCACGTACCGCAGTGGTTTCAACTCTTGCATCTCCATCTTCATCACGCTCTAAAGGGTGTGAGTGAGTGCGAGGTACTGGGATGTCTTGTGGTAGGGACTCTTGGTGGAATGCAGGAGATAGACGCCGCGTTATAAATGGGATTGTGGCTGTAACAGCCTGGCATACGGGTTCAGCTGCGGCTTGGATGGGTTGAACAATGGGAGTGATAGGTATATGGGATGTGCGCATAACACAGAGGTTCGGTAGCAAATGTTGGGGAGCACAGCAGTAGTATAAGACTGCGATAATAACTACACCTATCTCTTACATAAAGGGCGAGCCTGTTTTTGTGTCTGTCTGTCTGTCTATCTTCTCCCCCCTCGTAAGAGGTCACCCCCAACACCATATATACTCTCAATCAGCATACATGCGTCTAAACAGGAAAGATGGTATGGACCATTTTAGACCCAAAACAAATCAAAACCATATAAAAAATACAAATTATTTATTATTTTAATAAATGTCCGCGCGGTGGCGCTTTATACACTCATACTGCATTCGCGAATTTTCGCGGGTTTGTTTAGCATTTTTACCAGTATTTTTGTAGCTGTGTTGTCCAATTACAGC